GCTTGGAATCTCTTTGCTATTGTACTACAATCTTTTTTATATAAAAATTTGTTTCTATCTTAGTTGCATAATATATTTCTTTAATGAATCTTTCCTCTTACTAGTTTCGTCATGGCCTTCCATCAACAACAATTACAAATTTAGTATAATCTCACAAGTGAAGTTACGTCTTTCAAATTTTTTTTAGAATTCATTTTACGTTAAATTTTGTGATTAAATGTTGTTACATAATTTGAAACTACACAAATTTAGTCAAGAAATTGGAGCTGAATTTGCATTAAAAATTAGATGCACACTTCCTAACATAAAGTTCTATCTTATCTTACCTAAGAAATTACGTCGAATGGACCTTTTTAGAACCATTATACATATTTTTAGCCCATTAAGGAAAGTTTTGGTAAATTAACCGCACACCAGAATTTTAAATTCGTTGCTAGAATATTAAAGTATGCTACCAAAATTTTCAGTTTTGACAGCATGCTATCACAATTAGTGTTCTTCAAAATTCTGGTAGCATGCTTTGAAATTCTGGCAGCGCACTTCAAATTATTATTATTATTATTATTATTATTATTATTATTATTATTATTATTTTGCTAATAACAAGCATTTTATTTATTTAGAACATAGTTATTACAAGGAGGGGATGCAACGTATAATTCCAGTGCCCCGCAAGTCCAAAAGTAAGTACGACAAAACAAAAGGTGGGGGGAGGGGGGGGGGGGGGGCTATCAAAAACTAGAACATCAGCAGGCTGTGTAAGACTAAGCTCCTTGCCAAAATGTGCCAGTGCATCTGCAACAGTATTACCCTCCCTGTAGGTGTGGTTGAGCTGTGGCATACGTAAGTCACGCAACATACCTGCAAGCATGAAATAGACGTGAGTATTTCGGAATACCTTGTGGTAGGAGTGTGAGAAGTACCTGCGAGTCTGTTTCCACTATGAGCGGTAGCAAGTTGTTGGTAATAGCAATTTGTAATCCATGAAATAGGGCAAGCAATTTCGGTTGTAGTACTGTTGTATGGTACAAAAATTTGGAGTAGCCAATGATCCAATGACCCTCGTGATTACGGATTGCTCCTCATGTTCCTCCACATTGGGTGGAGGGGTCAAAAGCACCATCGATATTGAGTTTGTAGGTATGTGGAGGTGGAGTCATCCATTTGACCTGGATCGGGGTGTGTGGTCGTGGACTGGGTAAATTGGGGGTTAGGTAAGCATGCTCAGATGCTTGGCTAGCAACTATTGTAGGGTTGATCAAACGTGTATCATGGTTAAAAAAATTATGATTACGGTTGAGCCAAATGTTCCATAGGATGAAAGGAGCAATGTTCCTTAGAGGAATAATACGAGGGTGGGGGAGAGAAGATCTGAGGTTAATTGAGGTTGTGGAGGTACAGATGTGTTTGAGCCATCGGGCATGGTTATCCTTTGGTATGGGTAGTTGGTAGTGTTGCCAAATGCGAGTGGCCGGTGGGCATGCAGTAAAAATATGTAGTAAAACTTCGGAAGGGTGAGAGCAGAAAGTGCATTGCGATTGGGGGATGATGTTGCGGAATGCTAAAAGTTGCCTCGTGGATAGCTTGGTGTAGAAGAAGCCAAAGAAAATGTTTAATTTTGTTAAGTGTAGGAACGACCCAGATCCAGTAATGTTGGAAGGAGGTGGGAGTGTGAGGTTGATTAAGAATAAGTAGACGGTAAGCTGATAATGTGGAAAAGCGACCATCAGAGGTAGGGTGCCAGTGGGGTGAGTCATCGGTAGTGGTGTCAAGGTTTGGAATGGTGTTATGAATAAGTAGTTGAATGTGGGTTGGGAGGACAAAGGAGAGTAAGGTGAGGTCGAAAGTTGGTGGGGTAAAGATGTGGTTCAAGGTGAGCGAAGATTCATCCTGTAGAAGTGGGCCTTGGATAAGCTGTCGCAAAGAGAAATGGGGTGAGATCCATTGGTCGTTCCAAAGATTTATTTGTGTACCAGATGTAATTGCCCAGGAGGTACCCTTTTGGCATAAGGGTAGGGCTTTTGTTAAGCTTTTCCAGGTGGATGAGTCATGCGATTTAGCTATGTATGCTCTGGTATGTGGTGGAGTGACACGGGGCGCACAGTATTTGCCCTGCAATATTTGAGTCCAGAGACTTTGAGGATTAGTGGCGAAACGCCAGACGAGACTTGTTAACAATGCGATTATGTTAGCATGCGTAAAATTCTAGCAATGTACTTTACAATTTTGACTTACAAAATTTTGGCATAAGAGTTATTTCCTTTGAAAACAATTTAGCAGGATCAAAAAATAAATAGTTGCACTAAATGATCTTATTCGGGCAAATCTCCTAACACACCTCGGTAGCCGAAATTTATTAATTCACCACCGGAAATGCAACAAAAGAAGTACACAAATATTCCGAGGCGGATCCAAGATTTAAACTTTATAGGTTCAGGTTCCTATTCTACCACAGCTCATCTAATTTTATGTGTTCAAAATTTATTATTGGCAGAATTGCCTCATAGACACTTGTACTTGTTCGCGTTTGTCATCCTGATCTTTATACTCAAAAAAGTTTTATCCAGACACCTATAGTTATCCAAAATCAATATTTTAATCCCTCTGATCGTTGATTAGGTCTATGTGGCAACTTGACAGCTGAACTGGACAAAATACGTGTATTTCACGCGTATATGGAGCGTGAGAATAATTCACTACTAGAAATTCGCTAAAAACCGACCATGGTCGACCAACCAATTTCAAAGTCGGTCGGTTTTTCAAAAAAGGTTCAAAAAAGATATATATTTCTACGAAACTGACCAACTTTGGTCTGTTTTCTTTGGCGCAAAAATGCGGGAAACTATTTTGAATCCCGCAAAATTTATTTTTCAAGAAACCGATCAACTTTGGTCGGTTTTTTTATTTATAATAAATTAAAATTAATATTAATATAAACCGACCGACATCGGGCGATTATTTTCGTATGAAAATACAATTAAAGAGTATAAATGAAATAAACAAATATCTTAAAACAAAATGCACCAATTGGTCTAGTGGTAGAATAGTATCCTGCCATAGTACAGATCCCGGTTCGATTCCCAGATGGTGTATTTTTTTAATTACATAATTAAAATACCGAACGACTTTGGTCGATTTTTCGGTAATTTTTTATTTATTTTTGAATTTAATTTACCGACCAAAGTTGGTCGGTAATTGCCGACCAACTTTGATCAGTATGCCCTTTCGACCTTTAAAATACCGACCACAGGTTAATGATCGCATTTTGAACGATTATTGGCCTTTACCGACCTACCTTGATTGGTTTTTTTGGACGGGTTATCCCGAATTTCTAGTAGTGATTATTTAAACCAAAAATAATTAAAACAATAAAAAAGAAGAAAAAAAAGACAAAAAGTTAAATACAAAGAAAAGTCAATGAGTGCTTTCTCTTTACATTTTTCCCACCTTCCCCTTCCCCATTTTTCTCTCTCCTCCTCCCTTCTTCCATTTATTAACTTTCCCCAATTTTAACCTAAAACCTGGCTACAATACAGTCGTTTCCGCCACCTATCATCCAACACAAATGTTCTTCGTCGCCCCGTATTCAAAACCATTCCTAAATTGTAAGAAACCTCTTTTCTAAATCCCCCATTTTCGCCCCAGATTCAAAAACATTCCCAAATTGATAACAACTTATGAAGAAAGTTCTTTTCTAAATCCCCCGTTCTCCCCCCAGCTTCTGAAGACGAGTTTTTGCAAGTTAAGAAATAGAAACAGTGGAAAAAGATATCCGACGAGCCATTTTTTGGTAGAGTAAAAAAATTTAGGGTGATTTTCCAGTGAGATAGTTTTTAGGAGTCGTTCGGATCGATTCTTTTTTATGGTTTGGTGGTGCTATGGTAGAGTATTGGATGTCAAAAAGCTTTTTAGGTGAAGGGTGATCGGAGAGGAATTGCAGGTGTTGGTGGGGCGATTTTTAAGAGTTGAGTTGAAAAAAGAAAATGAAAAATGAAGTGTACAAAAGTGATTTACCGATGGAAAACAAGAGTTAGATAAATTCTGAGGAGGAAGGTGATGAAGGCGATGGTGGAATGGAAAAGAAAAAAAATATAATTTTTGAATAATATTAAAAAACAAATTAAATAATAGTAAAGAAAATCTGACACATCAGGGCGTTTGAAGAAAACGTGCAGTTAGAGGGTTTAAAATATTGATTTGAAATAACTATAAGTGTCTGGACAAACACAAATAAGTAAAAGTGTCTATTAGACTATTTTACCTTTATTATTTGTAAATATTTGATAACTTTTTGGACAAAAATACAGGGTATGAGCGAAAGCTATGGTTGTTATTCAACCATTTTCAACTTTTGACCTTGAAGTTCTACTCGCGAGAGAAAGAAGTGTCAAACTTTAAAGAGCACCCAAAAAGTGTCATATTTCTGCAATTATTTGAAATGCAATAGTTTAAGAAAATGAGCCCAAAACAATACAAGTGGACCAAAGCCCATAGCATCTTCTAGTTAAAATATTATGGTATAGCCAGTTTTTACACTGGTCAATGAAAAATAGCCAGCGTTTATCAAGTCAATGAAAAATAGCAATTATTTTGCTGCAACAGTGACCAGTCCAGTATAATATACGGAGTTCTGGTGCATTTGTGTACGAACTCCAGCATATTATGCTGGACCGGTATACTTTGCTAACTCCTGTAAAATTTGCGGGAGACTGGAGCACCAGTGCTCTAAACTCCAGTATATTATACTGGACAATTATACTTGCTGGAACTCCCGTAAAATTTGCGGGAGTTCCAGCATAGTTATCCTGGAACTCCCGTAAAATTTATGGGAGTTCAAGCATACTTATGCTGGAACTCCCGTAAAATTTGCGGGCGTATTTTTCCGGATTTTGAACACTGTTTTCGCTCAGATTTAAAGTGGCTAAATTTGGATGACTTTTAAAATTTGGCTATTTTTCAACGATCAGTGCTAAATCTGGCTATTTTTTAATTTCTCCCCATCTTACTCTTGTTCTTTGGCGTTTGAGAGAGATCCATTTCTGAAAAGAAGCCACGCATCTGCCAACAGCACCACCACTTTGAAAATCTTTTGCCAACACAACTTCTCTCTGTGCCCGCAGCGAACGGAATCAAATTGTATGTTCCTTTTACCTCTGTAATTTCAGTTTTGTAATGATTTTATTTAATGAATATTGTTTGAAATGTTTTCTGGAGCATTTTAAGCTTATTGTTTGAGCTGTACTTGATTTTAAGCTCTTAAAAACCTTAGATGAATTGCTCCCTCTTTGTATTTTTTTAGCATCTAAAATTACAGCTAAAAGATACTCTCTCCGTCCCAAAAAGGATTATACTTTTCGAATTTCGAGAATTTTGACAGAAATTCGGACAAAAATTTACAAACTACATAAATAGTACTATAAGTCACAATAATTAACAATTTAAAAGGCATATGAAAAAGTTGCAGCCAAAGAACCCCTTGTTTGACTCTCGAAATTGGAAAAGTATCATCCTTTTTGGGCGGAAGGAGTAGAACTTTTGCATTTTTTAGATTTCTTTCCCTTGTTATTTGCTGAATTTGCATAATCCTTTGCGTCATTGCTGAATTCTTTATAGGACAAAAGATGAATTGTTGAAAACGTACAATAAATAAAATTCGTTTGTTTGATGCTCTGCTGCTCGCTTAGTAGTTGGTACTGGGAATAGCTCTGTACACGAGAAAGAGGGGAAAAAAAAGGAAGAGTAATTATGTTCCACTCCGGAAGCGTATGTAGGTGGTAATTTATGGGCTCATATGAACTTAATAGCTCTGACTCATATCGTGTATATGTGCTAAAATATCCAGTAAATAAGTATGAATAATAAAATTTTGAAGTTAGTATATCAAATGGGAAGGGGTAGAATCCCGAACTCGTACCCATAATATTTAAATTCTGGATGCGCCTTTGTTACTCCCTCATATGCATCCAGGAGAAACAACTTCATCCTTCATAGTTAGCTTGTTTGGATTTTAGGATGTTGATGGATTGCATATGCTATTTTCTCAAAGAGGAAAAAGCTATAAAAAAAGAGAAAATTTTAGCTCTTGAAAGTGCAGGCGACCGCTCTCTCTTCGTCACTCTAAAACTCTAAATAGAGGTGGTCACATTTGCATATGGTATTGAGGTGTTTATAGCATTCTAATGTCATTTATGTTATTCTCTTTCCCATGGAGGCCAAATGGAGTGTAGTGATAACATTACATATGGTAGTACTACATGATGTATCCAAAGGTCCATTTTTTAAGGAACAACTGCAACTACGTGCTTGGCATGGGAAGTCTTTGGTAAATCGGCTACATTAGGATATAAGACCCACGGAAAAATGTTCAAGATGCTTTCGGGATATACTTGGATCAGTGGACATCTAGCATAGGAAGACATGACTTAAGTTGTCCATTTATACGCATCAAATTATGTACGACCATTTCTTCTATTTTAACTTGGATAAAAAGGTTTTTACGGTTGTGAAGCATAACTGTCCTTTCATTTCTTGAGCATGAAGCTAACTAGGGCTATGTTGCTCGGACTTTCCGAAAATGTCGTTGGGTGTGTGCCTGATCCTCCAAAAGTAGTGCATTTTTGGAGGATCCGACAGAAGTGCGGCAACATTTTGAGAGTCCCCGCAACGTAGAATCTAGTGACACAGCATTTTAAAGCGATTGAAGCTAGAAGCAGTCGCTCCTTTGAATCTGGCTTTAGAGATGAAAAGAGAAATGGAGGAGGAAAATAGGGCCTTTTGCTACCTGTGTACTAGGAGTCCTCTCGATATATTGTTCTATGTTTTCCTTGTTGTCTTCTTCCTCATCTTATTTTGCTTGGTTGCAATAACTTTTCTTCTATTAATTCAGTTTATCTACATTTACGGAGCTGTTTCTTACTTCTTTCTTTTTCTTTCATGATGGCTCTTTGTTAGTGTGTGGGATCTCTTCTCTACTTTTTCTGCTTCAAGCCTTTTAAGTTATCTTTCTGTAAACTTGCTAACGAAGTGATGTTTAGTTCAGTTGATGGAATTAATATTATAATAGATGTTGAAATTCATATTCTCTTAATCTCATGTTTGATGTTATAAGTACTAATTTATATGCTTCTCTTGTTGTTGTTTTGTGCAATTTTTTAAGACACCTCCTAGAATGGGCAGGTTTGCATTTCAATCTGTTTCCTTGTAACCCATTTAAACCTACCCCATACAGAATCCAATCTACCTGTTTCCCAGCTCTCCATTTCAGCAGTAAAACACGAAATACTGCTGAACCCTGGTTATTATCTACCGTCTAATAACTCTTTATAAGACAATTTTTCTAATGAATTGGAAAATAAAATACAAAGCGAAGAAGGTTTCCAGTACTCTTTGGAACACTGATTTCAGTAAAAGGTGTCTTGAAGCATATATCGACTTGTCATATCCGTGTATTGTCTGTCCTCCATCTCATTCCAAGTTAATTTGTATGTATGAATATAGGTACAAATCAGTTCTGTTTCTGCTTTTCATTTTGTTTTTTCTTGCTGAAAAATAAATGGAAAATGGCCAAATATATCCGTCTACTTTCAAAATCTACCCTCCGTCTCACTATCTGGCTATTTGAACCCCTACCGTTATACTATGAAACAAAAATACCACTAATTTGGACGGAATGCCATGTGTCAGCTCTTTATTAAAAGACCCACCCCCAATAATTTCAATTAAAGCCCGCCCCAAGTTAGACTCATTACCCGACCCAAAACCCTTTTACCTCATTTATTTTTTCTTTCTTCTTCTTCTTCCTTCTTCTTCTTCTTCTTCTCTTATAAGCCATCCAACCTTCATCGATTGAGGCCCTCATCTCTCTCCCTCAATTCTATAAAACTCTAGTTAGGTAATAAAAATAAGTGAAGCAGAATTGAAAATATTACTAGTAGATGAGAAGCAAGAAGAACACCATCCTTGTGAAACATTTTTTTTCCGCTGTTCTTGAAACTTGTTTTTCCATCCTAGAAGCTTTTTTGTTTCTTGCTTTTTGGTGTTTTATTGCTGAGTTTTCAGAATTTTGTCCTTTTCTAGATATATTAATTGGTTTTTGATATATGCAAATAAACTACTTAGATCCAAAAAACTTCTTCATTTATTTTCTAGTAATTTTTTTAAGATAGGTGATGATCACTTTCTCTTGAGAATGTATCTTGGGGCTGGGGGTATTCTTCAAAAGATTGTTGGGTGAGGATGGACAATGAGAGCTTCAGGTTCAAGCCTCATGGCAATGGATCGAGTGAGGTCTTAGCATGGGTTTCGGCCGTTAAAAAATTGAATCGGGTCAAATGAGGTGGGTAAATGGGGAAGGGGCTATAAAAAAGGGCGAGTTTAATTTGAGCCATGCTAAGAAACTTAAAAATATTATTGTTGTGGTTCGTAAAAAATATTGAAGAAGATGAACTGGGTTTAAAACTCTAATGGAGAACAACATTTGAAACGGAGTGTTCAAGAAAAAATTGAAGAACCCTATAATGTTTTCCTCCGCTGCAAAACTTGTAGACTCAAATTTATTATTTGATAAACTATCTTCAAAAATTACAACCAAATTTCCTATTACATGGAAGAAAACTTAGAGACTTTGTTTTGAATACAAACAAAAAAGATAATCATGGAATTTGAGGTGAAGATGATACTGGAGTAGTTGGATAATGGGTGGAGAAAATTTCTGAAAATTTGAAATAGTTTTTGTTTCGTTATCTCAAAGTTGCGGAAAATGGAAATGTGTAATGGGTAGAAAAATTAGGGCAGGGTCGGGTATCAAAATTTGGGGTGGTCTCTTTAATTCTGAAGTGCCACGTGTCATTCCGTCCAAATTAGGGGTATATTTGTTTTATAGTATAACGGTAGGGGCTCAAACAACCAGATAGTTGGACGGAGGATAGCTTTAAACAATATTTGAAAGTAGAGGGATATATTTGGCCTTTTCCGAAAAATAAATGTTGTCTTAATTTCCTTGCTCCTCTCCCTTCCCTAAATTAATAGTTTCATCTGTACGTGATGCTATGTTGTTGATGTTTATACTCATGCTAATGACTGTAGGAAAACCGCACTAGGGATTGAGATGAATGGTGCTTCCTCATCCGGTGGTGTAAGAGCTGCTTTATCCTATTGTGTGCAGCAAGTACGAAGTTATGATTATCATCACTACCTTTGCCTTCTTGAACTTCCTACAAACATGCGGAAGGCTGCATTTGCGCTCCGAGCTTTCAATGTGGAGACGTCCCGAGCTATGGACGTTGCTTCTGACCCCAGAATTGGTCTTATGCGCTTGCTTTGGTGGCAAGAAGCTTTGGACAAGATCTATTCCAACCAGGTAATTGAGCATCCAGTAGCTCAGGCCCTTACTTCTGTCGTATCTGAGCACAAGGTTAGCAAAAGTTGGCTGAAACGAGCTGTGGAAGCTCGAATAAATGATGCAAAACGAGAAAGTAATGAAATTCCACAAACTGTTGATGAATTGGAGCGATATGCTGAGGACACAGCATCAACTATTTTGTACTCTACACTTCAAGCAGGTGGTATAAAATCCACAACAGCAGACCATGCTGCTTCACATATTGGTAAGGCGAGTGGCCTTCTTTTGCTGCTTAAATCACTCCCATACCATGCTAGTCGAAACCATCAGTTTTCATATATACCAGCCAAGGTGGCTGAGAAACATGGATTGTTGATTCACCAAAGTGGTCAGTCAGAGATCAGAAAGGACTCGCGTGAGGCCCTTTGTGATGCAGTGTTTGAAATGGCGTCTGTTGCTAATTCACATCTGCAGAAGGCTCGAGAATTGGCTGGAAGTGTGCCAGCTGAAGCTTTTCCCGTGCTTTTGTCTGCTGTGCCTGCCCAGGTCATATTAGATTCTTTGGCTAGGGTGCAGTTTGATATATACGATCCACGGCTGGCACGTGGAATCTTAGGAGTTCCCCCTTTGTTGTTTCAGTTGAAACTGAAATGGTTTTCATGGAGGGGTAAATACTGACATTACCTTTATGCCTCTGTTAGCTCTTTTAGCGTTGGTCGTCCGCCATTGTTTTCTGGTGCTAGCAGATCAACGTCTAAAGCGTGGATGAATATTCATCCCTTTGTAGAATATGCATCTTAAGCAAGTTTAATATCTATGCTAACCAGTGAAGACAGTAACTGGTATTACAGGTACGAATTTTTGACGAGTAATTGAATTCTCACATGGATAAATGTGATTCTGCGGTTGGTATTTCTGGTGTTTCATCCTTACACATAAAGAGGAAACTTCAAGTGTTAAAATAAATTTCTGAGAGTACTCTGTCTGGTTTGACATTCTCATGTTCACTCTGGATTGCTGTTTGCTAGTTTGTTGGCACCATATTACTTTCGTAGTTTGGAAGTAGTGGAGAATTTAATCATAATCTGTTTCTTTTACTTTCTTTTAACTATGTTGCTCGGACTCTCCAGAAATGTCCCCGAGTGCATGTCGAATCCTCCAAAAGTAGTGCATTTTTGGAGGATCCGACACAGGTGCAACAACATTTTGGAGAGTTCGCGCAACATAGTCGTTTAATGCATAGCCAGAAACTTGTGGAGAGGCAACGAATCGGATTCGGTACGCCATGTCTACTAACCATTTGCACACTGTTTCTTTTCAATGTTCTCTCTCTGTCATCTTAATCTTGAGATAATGAGTTGTTTCCAGGCCTATTCTACCATATTTGGTCATAAACCTTGTTAAGTGTAATGCATTGTAATAAAGCTTCAAGTCCTTTTCAACTCCAAGACTTCTTTATTTCACATATCATACTGGTTAGAGAAAGTGAGCAAAGTTTTATATGCTTTCATTCTTCTCATTGTCATACAGCCTACTAGTATTGTATCCAGGAGTGTTGCCTAGCGGTCAACGAAATGAGCAAACAATCATGAGATATCAGGGTTCTAATCTCAGCACAGAAAAAATGCTAGATGATTTCTTCCATCTTTAGTTATCGGGTAATTATGCTGGTGGAATTTAGCAGGTACTATGGTGCAATAACTGAGGTACGAGTAAACTGGTTTGGACACGAATGTTATCAAATACACACAGGTGTTGAATGAAACAAACAAAACACTAATGCAAAATCAATAATGCCTATGATTTCTTTGTTTATAATGAAGGGGAGCCTTGGCGTAATTGGTAAAGCTGTTGCTATGTGACTAGGAGGTCACGGGTTTTCTTCCATCTTTAGTTATCGGGTAATTATGCTGGTGGAATTTAGCAGGTACTGTGGTGCAATAACTGAGGTACGAGTAAACTGGTTTGGACACGAATGTTATCAAATACACACAGGTGTTGAATGAAACAAACAAAACACTAATGCAAAATCAATAATGCCTATGATTTCTTTGTTTATAATGAAGGGGAGCCTTGGCGTAATTGGTAAAGTTGTTGCTATGTGACTAGGAGGTCACGGGTTTAAGCACTGGAAACAGCCTTTTGTAGAAATGCAGGGTAAGGCTGCGATCGATAGATCCTTGTGGTCCAGTCCTTTCATGGACCCTGCACATAGCAGGAGCTTAGTGCACCGGGCTGCCCTAATGAAATATTACTCTTCTTTTATTTTTTAATTGTTGAAGGGGAGCCTTGGCGTTGCTGACATGTGACCAGGAGGTCACGGGTTCTAGTCGTGAAAATAGTCTCTTGCAGAAATGCAGGGTAAGACTGCGTACAATAGACCCTTGTGGTCCGGCCTTTCCCTGAATCCTACGCATAGCAGAAGCTTAGTGCACCGGGCTATGCTTTATCACAGGGCTGTCCTTATTCCCCCGTTCTTTTGTCATATGACATAAAGGCGATGAATAAAACAATCATATTATAAGAGTACGAGAAAGAAAAATAATGCTCCATTTATGACCATATTATAAAGTAATTGACAGCTTAAATGTTGATTTACATGTCTCTCAATCAGATTTAAAAAGAATATAGTTCAAATTTTTGTATGTTTCCATTCTCTCTCATTGTCACAAAGCAAACAGATGGTGAATAAAACAACCATGTGATAGAGTACCAGAATTGTCTCATAATCAGATAAATTGACAGCTTAAATTGGATTTGTTTGTTTCTGATTTGGATAGAAAAGTGAAACAAAGTTTTTATGTATTCATTATTGTCATTGTCATATAGCATACTGGTAATGAATAAAACAACAGAATGATAGTACCATAAAAAGAATGTTTAAAATAATAATTGCCCATGTTATCTCATGCTTAAGTAATTGACAGCTTAAAGTAGACGTAGTTGTTTCTGATTCAGAGTGAAAAGGATAATAAAGTTTAGTTTCTCATGATTAAGTAATTTACAGCTTACAGCTTGTTTGGATTGTTGTTACGCGTCGGTTCATAATGTATCGTGTTGTATTGTATTGTATTGTTTGACGAATACAACATTTGGATAGATTGTATCGTTCGACGTCATTGCACGATGTCAAACACCAACAATATGAATAATAAACTTGCAATATTACTAAGAAAAAATATGATACAGGGTAGAAAGGTATGATAAACAATAAAATATGATTATTTAATTATAAGGAAGGGCAAGATGAGAGAAAAAAATAAGGAAACGATGTCACTATGCCATATTCGTCGTTCTATAAAGTGGCACTTTTCATCGTTACGCAATGATGAATGTAACAATACGATACAATAAACTTTTAGTAACAATCAAAATAAACATTATATTTAAAGTAACAATACGATACAATACAATAGGTAACAACCATCCAAAAAGTTGTTAAAGTAGATGTCTTTGTTACTGATTCAGATTGAAAAGAAGAGCAAAGTTTTATTTTTTTTTATTTTTCACATTCTTCTCTTTGTCATATAACATAATATTGGTTTATTAATAAAAAACAACCATACGGTGAAAGAAAAATAATGCAGTACAAGCATCCAAGGGTATGATTTAGCAGTCGGTAAAGTAGGTAAAAATTATGGAAAACAAATGTTCAAGTACAAATATAGGCAAAACACTAGGTGATTATTTCACATGTACCTAAATCGTGGTGATTATCCGAACCTATGTTAGTGGAAAGTCGTAAGTATTCGATAAAATCGTGGAGGTGCACGTAAGTTGGTCTGAACAAATGGAGTAAAGTTTTATAGGTTATCATTGTTTCTATTGTTCAATATAGCATATTGGTGGTGACCACAGGCGAAGCTACATTATCCGAAGGGTGGTCAAATGATCACCCTTCGTCGAAAAATTGCACTGTGTATATAGATATAATATTAGGTGTATAACATATACTGAACACCCTTTTTCGGAAATTTTTTTCCACTTCTTTCAAGTTTGAACACCCTTGCGAAAATTCCTGGTTTCACACCGGTGACTGATGAATAAATTAACCATATGCTAGAGTGTCATCAATGTCTCAATCCCTTATTTGATTTTGATCAGTTACGTGAACGTAAGAACGTTGTTTCCATTCCGTTAACTCTGGTCCATTTCTCTATATTCAGAAAGAAAAGAATACAATACCATTTATGCTTGTTTATCTCATATTAAATATATAATTAAATAGTTATGGTGGAGTGGTAAGTACTCCGTTCATCCTTAATCAAAGGTCTCGGGTTTGAGTCCTGTCTATGGAGTCGCCTTTGTTACAAAGAGTGAAAAATCCAAAAAATAAAAATAAAAAATTGGATAGACTGAAAGTGTCATGTAACGTGGTTTCATTAGTGAGTTGATCGCTCAAATTGTCACTTAACTAACAGAAATTGTGTAAGAAAATCATTTTGTCAGAGAAAAGCCATTCTATTTTTGCCATTTCACATAAAAAGTCACTCTAAGAATTCAGGTCGAAGAAATTCAACAAATACTCTGTACAAATATTATATCATCCACACCCTAAGAACCCAAGTTTTGGCATAATTGTAAAAACTTTTACATTATTTTTTTGACAAAATATAATATTAAACTAAACCTCCGTACCTCCGGCAACAGAAATAAGACCGAGTGGGATCAAAGAAACTAGCGAACTGATCACTAAAACAGAATAACAACCCTTAACATGGTCGTAATCGGAGCAGAAATTAATTAAGTAGTGAATCAAAAATTACTCACACTACTTTCTCCACAAACATGTTACCTTAAAAAAAAATATTTTTAAATTTTAATTTCGTCTCTGATCACAACTCACCAATACTTATGCGTCCAGCTCCGCCTTCCGGGGCATCTTCCACCACCACCCGTGGCGGCGATTCTTGATCGAACGTACTCGAATTCGGATATCCGACAAGGGATTTGGATCCCACCCGAATGATTAAACCCATATTCCATTTCAGCCTCTCTCAATAAATCAGCAAACAAAGGATGATTAAAGTAAATCACAGGCACTAAAACTCTACATGCATTATCTTCCTTTTCACCAACATACACAGCCAAATGACCCTTTGGTACAATCATTTCCTTCTGCTCCATGAAATCTTGCCCGACCCGAATATAACCCGAATTCGGCCTTGTAAAATTAAGACCTTTTGCACCATATTTCAACAAATTTCCCAAATTACATAGCTTTGAAATTGCTCTTGTTGCATACTTTGAAGATCCTAGCCGTTTGTAGCTGATTCTTCCCCTTCTTCTCCTATGAATAAACCACTTGAAAACTCTCACTAACCTTTTTCCAAGCCTAAATCCTCTCACTTTCCCCATATTTTTGTTAACCGATTCGGAAGATAAACTATCAGTCAATGATGTGTTTGATGCTTTGTTGCCAAGATAGATACTTTTCTTTATCGTCTCGATATAAGAAATGACGCTTTTTAACTCTTAATGAATATAGAGGATCTCCGCCTCAAGCTCAACAACAACAATAACAAATCCACGATTTTTCTTTACCGCCTTGATATGAGAACTAACTCTCTATAAGTATAGAGGATCTTTGCCTCGAGATCACCAACAAAAAAAAAACCTAATGTAATCTCATAAGTGGAGTTTGGGAGAGTAGTGTGTACGCAGACCTTGCCGCTAACTTGAAGGTATCTCCGCCTCGAGGTCAGAAGTATCAAATTTTTTTTTTGGTAGAAGCAAGAGGATTCTTGACATTGGCTATTGAAAAAGCTTTTCAAGAAGTTGTAACTGAAAATATGAAGTTGAATGGAGTTTATAATATTGATGGAGTACTTTTTTTTAGGGACCGTTTGGCTTCTTGTAGAGTAGTAATGGTGATAATAAAGTAGTATTAATTAAAAGAAAGTAAAGAGCCAAAGACTAATTATCAATGGGACAAAAAAAGGAAGCAAAGAGCCAAAGACTAACTATAAATGGGACAAGAAAGGACAGCACGTATATGGAGAATTTATATATATAATTGACTTTGATTAGTTCTGAATTGAGACGTAGTTATTATTGCGACGAAAAAGAATAACTCAAGAGCTAGTACTATAACTAGTTGTACAAACAAGAGAAGAATGAGGTTTTCTTGTTTTAGATGACTATGTATAAGATGTGGAGGATTATAGCAAGTCAAACATGGTGGAAGTATACATAACCAAGTATATATAGGCATTGTGGGGAGGGGGGGGGGGGAGGGAGGGGGGTCAGGGTAGGGGGTGGTGGTATTCATCTAGGAAGTGGTTGGCACAAACAAAGGTGAGACTTGATCAGAAAAATTGTTTGACTTTGAGATTTATATTGTGAAGGAAAATAAATATGTGAAATAATTACCCTCAAGTGATTTTTTTAATTATGTCATTAACTAAAATTTGCAAAAAATTACGATCCTACCTCTTGTCTAATTCGAGCTGCCTAGCTCATTTGGCAATTAAAATGAAGATATATTACGAGCATAAACTCTTTTGCTAGTGAAAGTAAGAGTAACAAGGTTAGGATCACACTTACGGTCTAACGATATTGATGGAAGTTCATAATATAATATATTACTTAAAATTTAATTTTCATTATCCTCATTTTTTTCTCCGTTGATCCCCTAAAATATTTTTTTTTAAAATTATGTGTAAAAAGAGGGATATTGAAGAGGGAGGTCAACTGAATTGATGTTGTGATATTTCCTGGCTATATGGAGTTTCAGGGGTCAGTAATTACTAAAATATAATAAATTTTTTTGTAGAGGTTATTTATTGTTTTTTCTAATGGTGTTTGATTTTGATGTTTGAATTAAAATAACATTTTATCTATTGTATTTTTCAAAATTACTTACTTTTTAAAAGGTAGATCTCCGGGAAAGTTGCAACGTAGGGTCATTTTCTTTTTTGGCTCACTATTTTTTGTTGAATATGACCAATTCTTTTAGCTAAATAAAAATTTGGAATAATTTAAAGAATTTTAGTGGACATTATTTTATGTTGTATTTAATTTTGTGCCACGTAAGTCCATTGACGAGGTTTTTTGGGAGATACTTCAAGTGGTACGGAACTTCCAATATTTTTACTGTTATTTGTCATTTTCAAATTTTTTGGTACGAATTTCCGCTGTCTCTGTACGAAGTAAATCTGTCCTCAAAATTGAAATAGTAGTTTTTTTCTTTTCCTTTTTTTCCCCTAAGAACATCGATTAATGTTTTATTTATTTATTTATTTATTTATTTCGCGTGAGTCCAACTCTCTATCCATTGAAGTTGGAACAATTCTTTAAGTTGAACATGAATTATGGAAGAGATTGTTTTTTTAGTCTATTACAAATATTCTTTTAGTAATATCATCGTTTTTATAGTAAATTGATAGAAAAAATAAATGAGAATTTTTTATAATCATTTTTACTTCTCTATTTAGAGTTTTCTTAGGTAATTCAATTTTTTATTTATGCATTTACAAATAGGAATTTAAAAAATATTTCCAAAAATTGTTCATCTAAAATGAAGGAAAATGTTTATGTCGTCTTGGCATATGCGCATGTAACAACTCGACCGGTCGTTTTGAGCTTTTGCTCTTTGACCGCCAGTTCTCGGGCATGACTTGCCCCGTGTAATGTATTATGACTGATGTAGACCGTTGGTTTTGGTTTTCAGGAAAATCGGAATGAATTTGAAAGAGCAATCTCAGTTGAAAGCTTCGAATTTGAAAGGTTTGACCATGGGTTGACTTATTTGTATATGAGCTCGGATCGGAATTTTTATGATATGGTTAGCTTCGTTGGGTGATTTATGACTTAGGAGCGTGATCGGAATTGGTTTGGAGGTCCGGTGTAGAATTAGGCTTGAATTGGCAAAGTTGGTATTTTGGCGAATTCCGATTGATAGGTGAGATTTTGGTCCGAGGGTCGGAATGGAATTCCGAGAGTTTCTATAGCTTCGTTATGTCATTTGGGATGTGTGTGCAAAATTTCAGGTCATTCGGACGTGGTTTGGTTGGATTTTTGATCGAAAGCGTATTTCGGAAGTTTTTGGACAACTTAGTCTTGAATCCGATGTGTTTTGAGTGATTTGATGTTGTTTGAGGTGTTTTAATGATTGGAACAGGTTTGAATGATGTTATGGATTATGTTGGTATGTTTGGTTGAGGTCCCGAGGGCCTCGGGTGAGTTTCGGGCGGTCAATCGGACCATTTCATGTTGGGAAAATTGCAGGTTTTGGCTCCAGCTCTGTTGCAGATGTTTCCTCTTCGCGATCACGTGAGGAGGCTCGCGATTGCGTAGAGTTATTTCAGGGGCATCCAGGTTTTCTCTTCGCGTTCGCATAGATCGGTTCGCGATCGCGTAGTTTTGCGTTGCTGTCAATCGCGGTCGCGTGTCATCATTTGCGATCGCGTAGTTGGGAGATTTTGAGCATCGCGTTCGCGTGAGGGAGTACGCGATCGCGTAGTGTAGTTGTGGGCTGTGCTTCGCGATCGCGAGGGCTTTTTCGCGATTAAGTAAATTTGAGTGCTGGGCAGAATGTTTTAAAAACCCATTTTCGCGAATTTGAGGCTAAGTTCCTCCATTGTTGGTCGATTTTGAAGCTTTTTGAAGAGGATTGAAGAGGGATTCAAGGGGAATTACCTGGAGGTAAGATTTTTGAACTCAATACTCGTTTTTATTGTGAAATCCACCTAGAAATTCATGAAAATTTAGCTAAAATTGGAAGAACTAGGGCTTGAGTTTTTGAGATATTGAATTAGGATTTGAAGGGTCATTTGAGCTCGGATTTGAGAGTTCTTGATATGCATAGACTCGTGGCGAGATAAGGAACCCGTTGATGTAAAAAAATTTCCGAGTTTCGAGAAGTGGGCCCGGGGCTCGGGTTTTGCTAATTTCGAGATTTTGATATATTTTTGATTGTTTTCGCTTGGGCTTTGTTCCCTTAGCATATTGTGACGTATTCGCTCTGGTTTTAGATAGATTCGACGCGCGTGGAGGCCTATTTGAGGGGCAAAGGCGTCGCGAGCTAGAAATTTCGTCGGTTCGAGGTGAGTAATGATTGTAAATGATATCATGAGGGTTTGAAACCCCGGATTGCACATCATAGTGCTATATTGAGGCGACTTGCACGCCGGATAGCAAGCGTGGGGTAGAGCACCTTTGGGGATTGTGACTTGGTCCGTCCCGATTGATGATTTTACTGTGTAATTGACTGAAACTTATTTGTTATCATCATGACTTGGGCTGATTACCATATTTGGGCTTCGTGCCAGCTATTTGAACCCCTTCGGGGATGGTCGTTGATATTTCCTCACTGTTTTAATTTTATACTTGAACAGTCATGTATTTTTTTTTCACTGTTTTCAAAACTCAGTCAAGTCTACTTGCTTTAACACTTGAAATGATATTTCCGATAATATTTTGGGCTGAGCATCATGTTTATTGTTGCCCGAGTGGCTTATGTGATTTTGTTGATTGAGTTAGGCCGAAGGCCTGTATTGTGAGGATACTTTTGGGTCGGGCTGCACGCCGCAGCAATATATATATATATATATATATATATATATATATACGGATCGGGCTGCACGCCGCAACAGTGTTATATTGATACTGGTATGAGGCCAAGGCCCTAGATTTGATGCCACGAGATGGCTTGATATTGCGCTTGGGCCGTAAGGGGCCCCTCCCGGAGTCTGCACACCCTCAATGAGCGCCGTCGACGATAAATGGATCGGGCTGCACGCCGCAGCGATATGTGGATTGGGCTGCACGCCGCAGCGGTACTACTACTGTTCTATGTATTTACTTTATTTCATTTGTCTGCCATTATCTGTTGTCTGTGTTGCTTCACGGGGTATTTACCTGATTGCCTGGGCATTATCTGTTGAGTGAGTGTTGTGCACGAGGGGCGGATTTCTGTGCTTATCTGCACTAATTATTTGCATTTATTCGCATAACCGTTGAAAAGTCATTTTCAAAAGAGGTTTGAACTGAGCTAAGATGTTTTCTAAAGATTTACAGTTTCACTGTTTTTCTCAAAAGGGTTTTATATTGCTTCTATACAGCATGATGATTTGCCTTATGTGATTTCTTACTGCTCAGCTATTATTTACCTTTATTACTTACTAAGTTGGAGTACTCACTTTACTCCCTGCACCTCGTGTGCAGATGCAGGTAGTTATCCACCCGTTAGCGGGCTTTGGTTGATCAGAGGCAGAGTTATAGGAGTTAGCGAGGTGACTGCCAGTGTCCGCAGCACCGTTTTCCTCTCTTTTGTTCATTATTCCGATTTTGTATATTTTAGCCTTGTAGTTGGATTTACACTCTAATAGATGCTCGTGACTTGTGACACCCCGATTAGGGCTGTGATGGGTTGTACTTCCGCTAATTAATATCATTAAATCATATTTAAACTGTTTATGCATGTTTAACTGCTTGAAAGAGGCGATATGGGTTAGTTGGCTGGCCTTGTCTTCACGAGAGGCGCTATCACGGCCAGAGCGGGGATTTGGGTCGTGACAAGTTGGTATCAGAGCCTAGGTTACATAGGTCTCACGAGTCATGAGCAGGTTTAGTAGAGTCTCGCGGATCGGTACGGAGATGTCTGTATTTATCCTCGAGAGGCTGCAGAACCTTTCGGAAGACTTCGCATTCTCGAATTCTTATCGTGCGTCCTTGATTCAGCTTGGAAAGTAACTCTTGAAATTCTTTCCACGCGTTCGCATGCGCGCATGAGCGCTCAGTATCAGATGTGCCCTGATGGCTTGTGATTCCCTGATCAAGGGGCGAGACGTGATATCTGTGAGTTTGATGTTGGGCCAGTCGGAGGACTTGAGGCCGGATCTTTGCCTATGGCTTGAGCACCGATGTGCTGACTGTGTGAGTAAGTGTTTTGAACTTATATGTTCGGTATTGTCCCTACTAGTGGAAGTGACGGCTGGATAGCCACATGATGAGTATGTTAGTACTGCGAGATGTATCTATATGACTTGGAAGTGACGAGAAAGGCCTGCTGGAGGATAGAAGAATTATTAGGTGCTTGAATTCCATCTTGATTCGAGGTATAGCCTCGAGTTATGGGCGCGTGAAGAATCTTTTTATGTCTTCCAGTTGGAGTGAAGTAAATTTCATGTTGCAGTACGAGTTCAGACCCAGGAA